TTAAGAAAAAAAATATTTTGGTCTGTATTGAAACTAATAAATGGCTTTAAGTAGATCGATTTCTAAAATATTGCTTACTTCGCCTGAGAAAAATTTTTTTTTCGTTTTTAGGTAAGTGAACCTAGAACTAAGCAAAGATTCAAACCACAATATCACGGCATTTCTCTTAAATTAAACCAATGATGATGGTTGATATTTGAACCCTGAACTTCGGACAGATATCTTGCATTATAACAGTTTGATCTGGCCAGCGTTCTATACATAAATAAACATAGTCTATATTTAAATTTCCTAAAACATTACTATCTTTGTATGCTATTATGTGCAAACTGTTAGTAAAACATTAATGTTGAAATGATTCTGAATTATAATACGTATTCACTTAAAATGTTTTATCCTACAAACTCCTTATCTTACGGTTGAAGCAAACGATCACGAAGAAATTGCAAGGTGAATAACATAAAAAATACATAAAAGGCATATAAAAAATGTAATGGACATATAAAAATAAAGGTAGGTTTTCAGTAAAGCTCAATACCCGTTAACATTTTCCATAACGGTAAAGAGAATCGCTGCATTTCGTTCCATGTTATGCTTAGGCTGGATAAACTACATTAACTGCGTTTTAAAACGTTCTTTTCCAAAGAGCTTTAGTTATTATAAAAGTAAATTACCAATAGTAAGTATTATAAGGCCATCATACATTTAATGGAGTTTAAAATTATTGATAGTTAATCTAAACACGCTGTAAATGCGCCGAGCAAAATACTAATTAATTTGGCTGTTAATCGTTGTTTATTTTGTTTACATTAAAATTGTATCAAGAAATGTTTTGTTGAATATTAGCTTGTCAATTATTGCACTATCATAAAAGTTATCCATCTTTTTGGATCATTGGTCAACACGGCTGAAAAAAACACCAGGCCAAATGAGCTGAACATTTACAAGATAAAATTTTACATACCTAGAAATATTATAATTAAGAATTTCCTTTCGATTTCAATTGAGTGGGAAAAAACTATGTTCACATCTTCCATGTAAACATTCTACAAATGCTTTTAACTTTACACATTCTCACAACTGGATACAGATAGTAAAGATAAACATTTTAAAGTTTAAGTGAGGTTATTTAATCTCTGTAAATATAATAAATTATTATATATGTTGTTAGTTTATAGGTCCTATGCTTTGTTATGCTAGTTATATTCTTTGATCAGAGCTGATACTACAACATTGCGAAACACGGTAAAACTACCAGTCCAACGAAAAGTAAGCTGGTCTAGTGGTGGAATGTGGGGGTTTAGTCCCCAATGACTTGGGTTCAAACACCGCCAAAGACCTACTGCTTCAATAATTCTGAATAATTATTGTGTGAAATAATTCCCGACTAGACCTAGTTTTCTTGAAAGTGACGGTAGAAAAAAAACTTGGCTTGAATTTTAATATTTAACAGACATATTATACAGCCCTTTGTGATGCAGTTTAATAAATAGTTGTATAAGATGTAAGTCTAAGTGTTATTATATCACAATATGTTTCGAGAGGGTAAGCTTCATGGTATTAGTTTATGATTAAAAGAGATCAAATGTTACATGTTTCCCTGACATCCTTAAATACAGAAGGACAGTTTTTCATTCAATAAAGAATTATCCTTTCCTTGATCTATGGATCAGTGGATTCAAAGAACTGCTTTTGTGAACTAAATTTCTTTTTGCTAGGAATTTAACTAATCAGGCTAGATAATATACAAAACACCATCCTTACTGGACCAAAGTTTCGAAATGAATATGATTCCGTCTTAAGTTAAGAAATTCACTAAAACATAACAAGTTTTGTACACAAACCAAGGGGAGCGAGCTGGTCTAGTGGTATAGTGCGGGACTTTCTGCCCAAGGTCCCAGGTTCAAATCTGGCCAATCACCAATGGGTTTTATCCAGGTGATAATGCCACAACCCTCTAGGTCTAGCCTGGAGTAATGTGTAAAACAGTCCCGGGCTAGAACTAGCATCCTAGGATGTAAAGGCATTACATAAAACATATTTTAAAAAGTACACACATCTATCCAAAACTGGAAGTTGCAAGATAAAAACCTCACTAAGAACCTTATTGAAGTCTATACAAGAAACTAAAGTCTTGAAAACAACTATTATTACTTCAGAATATTGTCCAGGCTTACAAGGCAGGCGCCAAATGTCCAGAATTGTAACCTTTAGACCCTTAAAAGATAGTATTTATCAAGACAGATACTAGCGTTTTCGTGTAGTGTGGTTTCAGGTCACTAGAGGTCTTTAAACTCTACGTCATATCAATCCTTTGCACGCTCTATAATAGAGCGAGTTGCAAAATCTTAGTTATTTCAAATCAGATATATTTACGTCAATCGTGTAAAGTTTAACCTTAAATAGCGGAACTAATGATCTCACAGTCACTGTGAACTATATGGGAACGTGGGAATATTCTAATTAAAACATTAACATCACGATTCAAACCTTTAAATATAAATATATATTTTTTTTTAATTTGAAGAATGTTTTAGGTTTAGAATCTTCTAAAGAAAATTTTCGGTTTTATAGGATAATGCCATGTAGTTGACCTCTACATGCCACTACCTAAGCAGGTATAAAAAAGTAGAGTTTACAAGTAGTAAAACTTGATCATATAATTTTATGGTTATGACAGTTTTATTAGATAACTGTAAAACACAACTCACAAGTATAAGAGCCATTAATGTGTCGTAAACATATGAAATATAGACTCTTAACGTTGAGTTATTTGTTACACTTTTATACACTACCTTACTTTAGAGGTGATTTGTCGTTCCTACCAGCTTTACTACTTGACACGTTAAAGCAGTTGGTAGTTTTTACTACAACACAAATACAATTATGGATCAATTGTATCAAATCTATTGTATTAATAGACAAGGATGTTTCTTTAAAACCTCTTTTCTGAGCTCGTGTGCATTGCAGGGGACATCTAAGCAAACTGTTAGAAAAATGACCCTTAGATGTGCAGGATCCCTTTATAAAATAAAATAAGCACAAAAAATGAATTAAAATAAAAAAAAAATAACATTGGCCTTATAGGTTGCCATGCTGGTAACGAAATAACAATGAAACATAAACAGAGAATCAAAACATATGAAATAAATTCCAATCACATGTTTTATTTACAGCGTGGGGGTGAAAATAGAGAAGATTTTTGGTCGAGTTTTCGACCACGGGCCGGCCTCTATATAGTAGTAGTAAATGTGTCTACATTTTGCATTTACATATAAATTTACAATAACAATACCTTGCTAGTAAAATTACCGGTACAAAAGAAATAACTAACCTAATTGAATATTATAGTTGGGTATTTAGCTATCATTATTTGCATAACATATTGTTATTTTTGTATACCCATGCAATTATGTGAAGAAATCAAATACATAACATTTCCAATAGTTTAAGGTTAGTGTGAACCAATTTAATTGGAAATAATGATCTACAGTTTAAATTAACACTGTCTTATTTGTAAATAAATAACAAAATTATTACAAAATTAAATTCAAGAGATTATTTTTCATAGTGTTACATATCGTCTCGTGTTGTTATGTTTTTTCTATAAAGTTGAGTGTTGAAAACAATAACTAGCAGCTGGACAATGCTGTCAGAACTGTCATTGTAGATACCGTTGGCAGCTGTTGCTTTGAGTCAAGAACGAGTGGACAGTCACCTCCCGCGTTCATGTAATTGGTAAACAAAAATGGATGCCTATATGGTTTCCAGCTTCCCAAAGTCAGCCCCATCACAATATTTTCCCGTGGCACACGTGTTTAGGCTGTAAAGATCATCCGAAAGCCTGACCCGAAGCTATCCATAAAGGTTTTTGGCCTGGTGACCCTTTGATAATAACATAGAGATATTTTTGTTTGTTTATTTATAGGTATCCCATTAGATAACATTTAGTAGATCAATACAACTTCAACGCTTTGGTAGGGATTTACTAATTTCGTTAAACATTAGAATGTTAACGATTGTAAATCAGCATAGAACCATCAGGCCTAGCATCTTTATAAGATTGGTGGCCTATATTAGCATCATGTAAGACAATCATAAGTTTTTATCCTAGATATGACAAAAAGCTTATTACATTGTATTATTGTTGACCAGTTATTTTCATTGGAAATTTCACAGAAACTATTTTTACAGAAAATAAATGAGTGTATACAGTGAAAAATAAACATGGTCATTTCTGAAATAAGGTGAATAAATATAATATTGTAAACCATTTGAGATATTTTCACATATCGGGTATTATCCTTAACAATAGTAGTTATTTTTGCCATGATTGGTTATTTAAAGCTACTATTACCTAGTAGTATGAATTTCAACTGTTGTAAACGCAAAACATTTAATTATATGCCAAATATGCTTCGTTACAAGTCTAGTAACATGCGAATCTTAATAGTTAATTTTTTTCTGAAAACTATCCACCTTGTGTAACGCAAATAAATTTTAAAATCCCAATTATCCAGTTGTATTAATGTGGGGTTTGCTTTCATTATAAGGGTCAGTTTCCAGAGTTTTTTCGACAATAACAATTTTAAATAATTGTCAGTGTATTTGAATAGGCATGCCATTCTACGTTATGCTTCAAATTATGTAATTAATAGTAAACAGTCTTAAAGTAGATACGTATTAGCAACCTAAAGTTTCACCCTATGTATGATGACAAATCACACGGTAACTTGGTTATGAGCTCAATAGGATATGAGTGTATCTTCATTTCACCATATTTGTAAATTCCAAATGCAAGGCGTGACTGCAAACATCTTTGACAAACAATTTGAATCATAGATCATGATAATCCAGTGAGTCACGAGAATGCTAATCGTTATGTCCTGCAAGACAAGAGTTGTCGATGATAATGTGAGGAGAGGGGGAAACATGATAAATGTCCAAAAAGCCTGCATAGGGGAGCAAAGTGGGGGTAATAGTCTACTGTCTACTGGTGGTTAGAGCTAGAACCAGTGGCAGTCAGTGAGTCTGTCCAGACGGCTGTTTGGACTTTTCGACATGACGGAACAGGCAAGGCCCCGTATCAGGTCTGTAGGGTAATTATGTATAAATACCACTACTATTTGATCTAACATAAAGTGTAAACTAATTCTAACTGAAAAATTATGCTCTATTATGCTTGGACTTAAGATAGGTCAATCATGTAGGCTATATCAAGATAGAAAAACTCAAGTACTGATAATTACCAAGTTTGCCATGTTAAAATACAATGATTACTGACGCTCACTCTATTCTCAACCACAGATTCAATAACTTATTTGCTTGACAACACACAGTATTAATTTTTAAAACAAACCCTGACTAAATTGGAATAAAACTTGTTGAGCTGTTACCTGGACATGTTAAAATACAGCTCAGGCTTAAATAGATCACTTTTAAAATATGCCTCAGTAAATGTTTGCCTTAAAAGCCTAGATGAGTTCCAAAATTACCAATCTACCAACCTCTGCATTACCCCTATTGTAAACAGATTCATCAGGAAGATAGGGCACATTGACACCAATCTAGAGCGTTGATTCAAATTACATAGAAATTTTGACTGTTTTTTATGTAAAAGATACAAGATACAGTAAAATATGTGTAGATCAAGTAAATCAGAATATTTAGAACGGTGTCCAAATAGTTGCCATTAGCTGTTTGGGCTATTAATTAACAGCTGTGTCTAAGGAATGTCGGCCTTAGTCACTAACAAGACTACAAGATCGCGCCACTCATCATACACTCATCTCCATTCATACTTGGCTTAAAATACCTACATTATATGGTCGCCATTTCATAAGAAAGTATTAAAGGTGCTTATTTTTTTGTGGGTTTTTCATGTCAAATCAAACTAAAGATACAAATCCTAATGGTGATTTTTTTTGTCATATTAATTACAAAATGTAGGCCTACTCATCACATTTTAACGGAAACTATCTTGCACTGTTAGAATTTTATACATAAAAGTAGAATTTTAAATAGCAAAGACATCTATAAAACATGTTAAATGTTTACGTGTCTTCTTTAGTTGCATTTGCCTTTTAAACTATACATTGAATTCGGATGAGACTAAAAAGGATTTATAGGATAAATATTTCACTTGGCTATCAAAAAATTATAAAACTAAAGATTAATTGCAACGTATTTAAATATGTATGCAGGTTACATAGGATGTAGAATGGCTACTATTTGTACGTCACATTTTGATGCATGTACTAGATTTGTAGAAAACAATTTTTGTCCAAGATACATTTGTATTACAACCCGTGCAAACGATGGGTGCTTTTTTGCAGCTAGGAAACCAAAAGTTTAAAAATTTCAGTGATTATCCTAGATAAATAATCAGTTTAATTGTACTTAAGTAGCGTAACCTTCATTAGGCTTTAGACTAGTGTAATAAAACACTTAGGGTTACTGTACTAATTAAAAAGAAGTACGTCTTGTTATTTGGAGGGTTGCCTTTTTATTCGGAAGTATATCTTGTTATTTAGATGGACGTCTTGTTATTTCAAGGGATATGTTCTTATTTGGAGGTTTGTCTGGATATTTAGAGGGGTGTATTTTTATTTGGAGGAAAATCTTGGTTTTTAAGCAATAATTTTTATTTTGAGGGATGTATTTTTATTTGGAGGGATGTCTTGTTATTTTGAGCGATGTCTTTTTATTTAGAGGTGTGTATTGTTATTTGGAGGAATGTTTTGTTATTTAGAATGGTGTTTGGTCGTTTAGTAGGATGTCTTTTTAATTGGAGGGTTGATTTGTTATTTAGAGGATGTGTTGTTATTTATAAAAAGGTAAACGAATAACTTGTTATAAACAATTCAGAGACAGCTTGTTTGGGATTTATAGTTTTTATACAGGCATAAACATATTGGCACGAACGTTTCTTGGTGAGTTTCAAATTTGTATAGTACTTATTAATAAAGTAACTAGCAATTTAATAATTGCCAAGAAGTGTTTACGTTTATACATTATGACTCTAAAGTACCTCTAGCTCAAAAATATTTCGTTATTAAAATAACAATCAATCATCAATTTTCGGGTAACTTAATCGGCTTTATACCCGGTAACGTGTCATTACTACTTCCCAATTAGAATACCATATTATTGTAAATTCTTATTTCACAATAACACAAGCTTTTAAACTATCAATTATGTTTCAAAGACTGTTACATGGTCTTTAAAGATATTATTTTTCTTATTACTGTTATCGTATTTATCCAACTCAAGACCAAACATCAAACTATGGTTATCTATTGTTTACTTCAACTTCTGATAGTTTAAACCATCAATGGTAAAATGTAAAGACCAACATTGTATAACTAGGTATACATGGTCTCTAGTAATTTCAATGGCTTTTAATTTCTTTTAATTTTAAATAACTTCTATATGGTAAACTTTCTAATCTTTTGTTGATGTATTGTTTTAGCCAGATTCACATATTATAAATAACATCATAATCCAATAATAAATGTATAATGACTACTAGTAAAATCCTTATGCTAAGATATCACTGTACATATTATTGTTTAGTTGTGATCATACTGATAATACCTACGGCCGTTTTATTTTATTTTTATTATTTTTTTTTTAGAGGTTGGCGGCCACTTTTAACCTTGCATTTGCCCGTCCTTATAGACTAACCGCCCGTGCGTGGAACGCACGGCGTTATAAACTATCCGTTTCAGTTCAGTCCTTAGAATTGAAATAATTAACTTTCCCTACGACCGTTTTTTTAAGTAGCCGTTTCACTACAGTTCTTAGAATTGAAAAGTATCTCATAACAGCATTGTTTACTATCATAACAGCATAGTTTTATTCATAACAACACGGGTAACGGACCAATGAGGTTCAAGGATTGAGAGAGGAGAAGCAAAATTGTAATGATTTGAAATTCAACTAATCAGCTGTTCAGGCCAATTTAATTGTTGATTGGTGCAATTAGTAATTAGTGGTTGGTACAATGAGTCGTTGCATCACTGTCAGTGGCAATGAGATGTTAGTAACGAAAACATAGCCTCTCTTAAAAGTTATGAGTAGTGATTGTTAGTAATTAAAAATATTCGTAGGTAAAGTAGTGTACGCAACTCGTGTAAATAGTCTTAACGATAGTCGTAGAAGATTTTTAGGCACTCGCCAAGGCTTGTACCTTTACGCGATCGGATATTTACGTAATCGTTGCGTAAACTACTATTAGAAAAAAAAAAACAATCACTTATTGAAACATTTTATACGTATAATTTTTTTACCACTAAGCCTTTGTGATATTTGTCATCTTATGTTTATGTAAATACAGTTTAATATGTGTGCACTATATTAAATTGGCTGTTCTTGTTTTAAAACAAATCTACAAAGTAAACAACTGCTTTGAATAGCTGTTCCTAATCATTTCATAACACTTTTTACATCAGTTCAGTCAAAGTGAAATTACAGTACAAGCTCTAAATAAACACTTTATATAGATAATTATATTGTCATGCAGTATAATCATAAACAATTTTAGTCACTGAGTAATTTGGTTTTAGATAAGACTTACTCATGGAGTGACACATTAAAACGTAATCAATGAATAAAAGAGAAAAGGAAACAAAACTAATTTCTAAATTAAGAACAACTCCTTTCTTATTCTATATTTAGTTTTTAAATAAGAAAAATCAGGGCCAAAAGATTTTATCTAATAATGATAAATTTTGATCGGCGCCAAATCCAAACAAGCCTTGCTTTATAGCTTTCTGAGGTTTCCTTAGTACGACTAATTTTAGTTTTTTATGGTGGTCTTATATCAATTTTTATTAAAGATGTAAGATTTTATATAATAAAAATTATACTAACCTAATTTTGTTTTTAACATACCACTTCTTCCTTAAAATACATACCAAGTGTCATAAATAAATATTGGTTTTTAAAATATTATAACAATGGCAGATATATATTTAGCTATTTTTTGGGTGTACTTATGGAACACCCTGCATATTGTGATTGCCACTACTGTACTATTATATTTTAACCATGCTATTTATTATCCAGCAAATACCTATGTTGAGTAGGGCTATTTTGAAGGTTTGCGTTGGATAAAATAATCATGGTTTGGGCTGTTCCTGTATGAAAAACTAAAAACATAATGATAGCGTAACTACACAGAAATAACAAATATAAAATAAATTCCAACCAACACGTTATTTGTAAATGTCCCTTAAATATCCCTTAAAACAAGGAATTCATGTTAAACGGCCATCAAAATTCTCTATACTGACCTAACATGTTACTTTGAACAACTTTTCAGCTCATTTTGTACGGTAAGATCTCAATGCAGTGTCATATATTATAGCAAGAAAAAAACAAACCTTTTTAATTGTAAATGATGAATAAAGAAAGCAAATAAGGTATAAATCACTGAAAATGTGTGTTTTATTGTTCCAAAGGATATGTCTGTAGGATAATTTTCTTATAGTTGTATTGCTATTTAATAGGCCATAATATTTCAAATACTAGGTTTGACCTATTCGAAATAGCTACATAACGGATCAACTGTCATTCCCTATTTCCAGCTCCAACAGCTATTATACTATCCATCTCGTTTCGAAAATTATTAAGTATCTTCCATTACATCAATGACATGTTCCTCATACCTGCCATTGAGGGATATTCAGGGATATTTAGACATATTTCCAAGAGAAATATACCGCACTGTTTCAGACTTAAATATTAATATTATGAATATTTAAGGACAGGTTTTGAGAAGAATATGCGTTGAGATAGACCGTTATGTTTTTATGTATTTCAGGCAACATCCCCGACATGAACCAAACTTTTTAGTTCTTAATTGCTGTTCAAGTACAATACCATAAAAACTACGTATGCGTCTAATAACTAAAAAGTGGTTTTACTTGGTTATACAGTAAATAAATAGAACAGCTGGTCTATGATGGGTTCAACTACTAATAAGTCAAACTAACCCCACGTTGTGATACGAGGTTAACCTTTGACCCATGTATTCATCACTCTGTCCCATCTTGAGCTATAATCTGACAAATGAAACATATTGGTCTGTACAAATATGAACTTTTTTCTCTACAGGAAATCTTCGGTCGTGCGTTAATTGTGCCAAAGAGTTCCTTCAATGGTACCAAGTCCTCTAAGGGTCCAAAAAATTTTCCTTAGTTCCGCCAAGCCCAATCCAGTTAGGGATGAGTTGCCGTCAGAAGAATTAACCTTGTTTACGTGTCATCCAAGCTTAGCCTAACCTATCCTAACCTAACCTAACCTAACCTATCCTAACCTAACGTAACCTAACCTAACCTAACTTAACTTAGCCCAACCTAACTTAACCTAACGGGTTTGTGGGGGTTTGCATGGTGTATAGTAATGCATGGTGTAAAAGTTGGGTTTTCCCATTTCGAAAAAAAACTTAAAATTTAGCAATTTCTTTACAAATTATTTTGTAGAGATAAAAAAACTAAAAATTTAGTAAATTGAAGCGTTGTTATGTTCCTAATTACGGGGGAAATTCCCAAAAAATTTAAATTTAAAATTCTCATGTTATACTTATGGAGAATAGGTAAACTGTTGTAGTTTGTTTGTTTATGAACATATTTTGACCAAATTTAGAAAGTCCATTTATTTCTTACTAAACTATTAACATTTTACAAAAAAAAAATATATAAAAACACCCCCTACCCTCCCTATTGCAGCAAACCTAAGAACTCGTAAAACTAAATCTATTAAAATAGGGAATAAATGTGATATTTTAAAGACATTTTAGTGTACATCCAATCAGGCAATTCACTTAGTCTGCCAGGTTTGCTGTGGTGGGGGTGTAAAGATATAGAGCGGCGCCTCCATCATTCTCTGGGATCACGACTAGCTAATCCCCAATGGATTTAACCACGTCATAAAAACCTGATGTTCTGGGACCAGAATCGATATATAACCAATAACCGTCTCGATATATAACCAATAACCGTATTGATAGGGACCAATAACCGTTTGTACCTACCTACCAAAATGGTCATGGCTCCTTTTTAATCATAGAGAACATAAAGGGAGGATTCCATCTACGGTAATCTGTAGGACATTTTTTGTTACAGATTCCACGAGAAAGAAGAAGACTGGGTCATTGTCAAGACTCCTGAATCACCATTTGTAGAGTTGTTCTGGGAAGTAAATAATGCAATAGTAGATAGAGCAGAAGATGCTATTTTTGCAATACCGGCAAAGATTCCTGAAGAACCAAAGAACGATCATGTAAATGAACTTGAGAAAAAGGAAAGTGGTGATGGGGAGAAGAAAGATTTGCTGGATGGTATCAATGTGAGTTGCCTTTTACTAACACTTAAAGAACTTTGTCCCCAGTCACAGTGTTTTAAAAGTCATAATCTAATGTGAACCTGTCGAAATATTGTGAAATCCAGTGGTAAATATATATGGGAGATACATTTTTCGAGATGACTGCAGGTTTTTGTAATGGGGGGTTTTATGGGGTAAAAATTGGGTTTTCCTATTTGTTACCCTAAAAACTTATAATTTAGCAATTTCTTTCCAAACCATTTTGTAGAGCTTAAAAAAAAAGTATATTGAAGCGTCATTATGCGCCTAATGGTTACGGAGAAAATTTCAAAAATCTGTAAAATTAAAATTCTTATGTTATTCTTATGGAGAATAAGTAAACAGTTGTAGTTTGCTTGTTTATGAACATATTTTGATAAAATTTGGAAAATGCATTAATTTCATACTAAACTATTAACATAAAAAAACACCTTTTACCCTCCCTGTTGCAGCAAACCTAAGTACTCGTTAAGCTAATGTTATTTAAATAGGGAAAAGTGTAAATCCAATCAGGCAAATGGAAATTCGCTTAGTCTGCAGGTTTGCTGCGGCGGGGGTATTATTTTTATATACAGTAATAGTTATATCTTTTCGATTGTGTATAATATTAAGGAAAAGATAAGAAAGTACACTGGATTAAAATCATAAACATGCAAATCACAATTGTATTTATTTTGAAAAAAACATGATAATACATACACTACCTATTATACTTAGTATAATGATATGACGTGACACTATCCTAACGATATGAAAAGTTAAATTTAACAGTTTTAAAGTGGGTACATCATATTGGTAGAAACAATTAGTATAGTCCGGTTATAAACCGTAGTGTCCTGCTACTGAACAAATACTTTTCTTTTCGAGTCAAGTAGAACCATTTCATGTTTAAGACATCCTTCTGGTCATATGTTCTTAAATTTCAAGTCAATTTACTCTCGTTTCCATTGTTAATTTTCCAGAGGGACGACTTGTACTACGAGATTCTGTGTGAAATAGTTCACACTGTTGGTCGCAGGAAATGTCCTAATGAGCACGAAGAGTTCATGGAATATCTGCAAGATACCTTCAAAATTGACAAGGACAAACATAAGTTGTTGCTTAAACAAGCCAGGAGTTCAAAGGTTAGTCTAGATACATTTTATTGATCGATCCCTTTATTTCGTTTTTAGATTACATTCAAAGGGGGGACAAATTATTAGACTAAACTGAGTTTTTCTGAAAAATAACAACTCTTTCAATTTAAACATAACTAAAGGCTGCAAATTTGTATGTTTTACTTATAAAAAGCTACTTAACATTCATTCTGTTATATTTTTTCCCAAGGTTGGTAGTATTGAATCTGTAACTGTAATAGGAAAAAAAGCTGTTTACCATTGGTTGCTGCTTAGCAATTTATTGTTTACATTTCAGTAAAGGTATAAACAACTGTTTCATTGTTTATTTTCTCTAATACCTTAACATTTTATATATTTAAACGTTTTAATTAAATTTTAAGTATTTTATAGTGTTTATTTCGCGTTTACATTTGTGTATCTAACTTTACTGATCTAATAAATACGGTGCAAAAAACAAGCTTAGTCTAATAATTTGTCCCCGCTCTGTAGAGTTCATGTTAATTTACAAATGTAAAGCTTCCATTGTTAGAAAGTCTTTGTGTCAGCTTTATAATAACGACAATTTTAAGTTAAACTGATAAGTTATTATTAAAATTAATTAATTCCCATAAAGACTTGACAAACGTAACAAATACCGGATCATTCTCTAGGGTAATGCATCGGGATGATCTTTTTTGCTGTTTCAACTAATAATCATATGATATTACACCTTTTTGGTGAAATTATACACTGTTAAACATAATGAGTTTATGAATACATTTTTAAATTTCCGTTATCCTGTTTAGTTTACTGTTTACAGTACGGATAGTCTAATCTTGTAGAGGAATACATATTTTTTTTCAAGGCATTCGGTTTAAGTCATAACGGTTGTCAACTTTTTAAAATCAACTAATGCAAAACTTATTATTGCTCGATACTACAATTATTAGTAAGAATGACGAAATATAATGCTTATGACCGAACAAATAGCATGTCATTGATATCTTTGCTATGTTTTAAGCTTTTTTATGTTTGTAGCCACCAAGAATTGAACTGGATGTGCAGATTTTAGAGGCTCAGAAGCTTACACCAAAGGATTCAAATGGTAGGTATATTGAAATTTTACATATATTTGGATACTACCCATTAATCCAAGCGGATATAGTCAAATTCGATGTTATCAGAGGTAAAAATATCGTTTTCATCTATAGTTTATAGCCATTAGAAACATTCATATTAGTTATCCCTAACGAATGGGGCTTTTAATAAATGATTCCGACCAAACAGCTGATATTTTAGTCAATGACACAGCTGCATATGTCTAAGGCTTGTCATTCATTACCACGGTTATCTTTAACTCTTATTTGGGTTGAATTGAACTTTGGTTGGTTTTCTATTTTATAACAATTACATAGTGATAATTTTAATCTCTTGCTTTACTAGTTAACAATAGTCGTATAATCTGAAGTACAGTTTACGTGTATGACCAAATAAGTATTCCGTTTAGGTAGTAATTTTTTTTTGTTTTGGAGATAAATGAATAAATGATTTAGACTAATTGTTTTGAAAGTTAAGATCACATAATTTAGAATCAGTCGTTAACAATTTTATGTTTTTTCCAGGACTAAGTGACCCATTTTGCTCCATTTATCTTTCATCAAATCGGAAAGATGTGCGCCAAACCTCAGTAAAGCCCAAGACGCTAAGTCCGATTTGGGAGGAAGACTTTAGTCTGTAAGTTTGTATGGATTAACTTGTTTATTAACAACGGTTGACAGTAAAAATGATAATATTTTTTAGTTCAGCATGTCAACAATATGTCGATTATTAATGCAGAAGAAGATGCATAAAGAATAGTTCTAACTAGCTGCATTTTGCGTAACCTGACACTATAAGTAAACTGATTATGGAAAGAGTGTTCATACATTGTTTAAATAAGCTATATATTTATTAATCCTCACATTTCTAACATTCCCTGGCTCTCTTTTGGTAAAGAAATAGTTACTCTTAGGTAGACTCCAAAAGTTAGCTTAAGGTATTTTTCCATTTTGTCTTTAGAGTTTTAAAAACCTAATAGAAAATAGCCAAGTCATAACTACTCTGTAATAGAGTTTTACAAAATCGTTTAGTGTAAATTGTAGTGCTTATGTTTTATTAGGGTTATGCAAAGGTCCTTGTTGAACGGGAAAGTTATGTTCAATGTTTGTTTTTTAGGAAAGTTGACAACGCATGCGAAGATTATCTAACTATTGAAGTTTGGTAAGTAAATTTTAGGCTAGTCACCTTGTTTAATGTATGGTAAGATATCATAAAATGTGATAATAATAATAAATGTTAATTTGGGGTTTTCCAACAAAAAAAATTAAGAGATCCAACACTATATTTGCGGCTTTGGACATATTTTTTTGTAATTTTGTTCTTGCCGTATGGTGTTTACCCTTTTACGATGTTTACACATGATCAACTCTACAAGTACCTGAAGCTGACGATGGTTTTTAACAACGAAAGATTTCCTAATTTAACAAAATGGTTGGGCTGTGACGGGATTACGTAAGTAATTTAGTCTTACATTAAGTCCAACAGCTACAAAAATGAATATTAATCATATTAAATCCACTTTTGAAGCCTTGCAAACACAGTTTTTTTTATTAGCTTAAGATTAGACATGATACATGTTTACTAACTTTAAAGACAAAAGAAACAACCGAACAACATTATGACGTTTCTTAGCGTCTTGGCATTTAGTTCAAGGGAGGGAGGGAGGGGTTTGGCCGAAGACCAGCGGTCCCACCACTCCTGGTTTAAGTCAGAGACTTATTCACCAGGCCGCTTTCCTGAAAAATCTTCGGATTCCTCTTCCAGTTGTCAGCTTAATTATTTGTCCACCTCTTCCCTCACCTAGTACCTTCTGTCCTAGGATCATCGGATTTATATTTTTTTCGATCATCTTAATTTATTCCATCTTTCCTAACATTATTCCATTTCAAAATCCAGCCTGTCTTCCTGCATTTTAAAATTCATGCTTTTTCTTTCCTATCCTTCGGCACATTCTGGCAAACTCTAACGTTCTTTATTTCTCGAGAAGTTTATCTTCTCCGAAGCCAATGTATTTTGTCGGAGGAATTCCCTCATGTCGCTTCTTTCTTCTTCGTAGAATAAAGCTTTCTTTGGGATTCAGAAAGCACTTTTTGTTATTTTTTCCAAATATTGTTTAGGGTTATGTAATCAAAATTATTCTTATAGGGATATGGATGCAGTGGAGTCAGTTAAGGGTGTTCTGACAACGGTAAAGGACATAAAGGGAGTGTCAGGATTCCGAAAATTTATCGATGAATTCAACACAGCTGCCCTTAGCAACGGAGACACCGTGGAATACATTGGAAAATCTGTGATCAACTTGAGAGTAAGAACAATTGTCAAGTATTTCCCCAAAAACTATAAGATTGTGTGGATTTGATAGGAAATCTACAGGTACTAGCACTATAGATTTGTATATGATTACTTTGACAAAAAAAGGCATTCAGCTATTTTACTTGATTCTAGACGTAAGAGATTTTATACATTTACTGTGTAATGCAGCAAAACTAACCTTTTTGTCAATGTAAATCACTTAATGAATTACGTATTAAGCTTCCAAATGGTCATTTCCAGGAGCATTTTACGAATATTAAAACTGAAATTTGTATTGTAGGTTTTAAGTTTCTAGACTTAGAAAAATTGTTTGTGTTGTCTGAAATAATCTGCGTACATGCATAGATTAAACGAGTAGACATGCAAATGATAAGCGTTAGATTTGCTTGGCGGGCGTTAATTGCACCAAATGACCTTAATCAGGTAGTCGGGTATTCCTGAATTGCGCCAACTACTACAGAGAGAGCCATCAGATACATTTATTAACTGCACCAAATAGCGACCCTCTTTGACTTTATAATTGAGTAGGTTAGGTTAGGTTAGTATAGGTTTGGTTAGGATAGGTTAGGATGACACGTAAATGGGAACATTCCCTCTGCCACATACTCACGTTTACCTGGTTTAGGCTTAGCGCAACCGAGGAACATTTTTGGGGCAGTTTGAGGGCTTGGCGCAATTAAGGAACTTTTTGGCGCAATTAATACACGACCAAATTGCTTGGTGTAATTCGGGTGATTTAGACACGACCCTTGATTAGTTGAACATTATTAGATAAAATTATTATTTTATGTTAGCTATTTCCCGTTAGATGAGGCTTAATGTTTATGTATTAATACTTATAACACAGTGTATACATTTTTATTTCATTATTTCATAAAGATAATAAAATATTCATATTGGATTCAGATTAGGAATAAACCGATTTTTTCCTTACCTTAGTTTCTTGCATACGGATACGTAGTAAATAAAGGCGTTTTTATTCATTTAAAAAATATACATTTTTAGGACATACCAGTGACCGGACAGACACTATGGGTGGATTTGGAGGCGAAGGGAAAGACGAATAGCCAAGGGATGTTGAAGCTGAAGACCGTTCTAAGGACTGACAAAAGTCCTCAAGTTGCTGCAAAAGAATACAAACATCTCTTGGAGGTATTTGCGTTGCACGAAGTGGAGAGTCTACAGGTAAACCATTAGATCAGGCATCTCTTATACTCTTCTCATACGTATAAGATCTCCTATTAATTGTCTCCTCCTTCTGTTTTGAAAATTTCTTCTTTGAACTCGAGACATTTTATGTCCTTCCCACAAACCTCATTAACTGTTTGGATTGGTCTATAACCCCCTGAATATTACAAAAATAAATATCTATTCCCAAAAAGCTGGTGGTGTTTTTTATAAACAGTATTTTTTTCAATGTAATTGTTATGGGGAAACTGCGATCTTCGAGAGGGCCTCTTTCTCTTGAGGGTAGGAATTTTTAAATTCTAAAACCTGGTGCACAAATGAGGGAGGAGTAGTGATCACACTGCTTCACGTATTATAGATATAAATGTAGGGAAATAGATTCAATTGTTAAAGGATCCTAGTCTGATCATACTACAGCCATACAATGCAATGTCTAATGTGAAGCAATAAATCAAAATATATTTAAATGGTAAAAGGTTCAAAATTTCAAATTCCACGTTTTTTTTCAGAATAACAGTGTTCTACTAGCTGGAACAGCCGGTGTTTTCTAATTTTTCCTTTTATTACATCCTACAATTCTGGTTTTTTTCTTCCCCTAAACCCAGGAAGACGAGGAATGGAGTGGTCAATTGAGTGCAGCTCCGAGCAGTTTCCTTCGTCAGCATATGGTGCAGAACAGTATGACTGTTAAGGATGTAGCACTGTCCAAATGGATCGCATACGCAGCTATCAGCAGAGTACATCCAGTCAGCCGTGCTGCCTTGGACAACGTGCTGCAGAAACTGGTAGAACCTATCAGCAATGGGTTGCTTACTGAGGAAGAGGTAGATTGGGAAATTATTTATCATAATAATACATAACGGTAGATTTATTTATTAAACTTTTTATTCAAATTTAAAAGCCAATGAATTCAACGAGAAGTCGAGTACTGTTTGGTTTCCATCTATATGATGTTAACTTTAATGCAAAGATTTCATGATGTTAGCACAACCTTGGCTTAGAGCTACATTTGACTATTTGTCAGAAGAAGACCGATACTTTTCAAATCAAATGACGAAAACTAAATTTTTTTAATAGCCTCAAAGATATTTTAAGGATTTTACTTGTTTTGTTTAGTTTTACGCCAGTAGCATTGTTTATCGTTTATTAACAGAACAGTCCAACTCCATTGAAAACATATTTATCCATTTATTTTAAATTATATATACCATACGCTCTATATATACATACAAATATCTTAAAAATGTTTCAGATCGAACTATTCTGGGATGCGGTGAAAAAGGTTTTACCAGGCTGCTTTGAAATTGTGAAAAGTCTATGGAAACTACCTTCCAATGACGAAAAAACAAGGACTTCTCTTATTCATTCACTCAGGTAAGAAATAGTCATACACAGCAATAGACATTTATTCAAAAATTAACAAGTAGGCATATAATTATACAAATTAAAAGTTTAATACGACTGAAACTAAATCTTTACTAGATTTTTGGACCTAAATACTATCGGTTTAGTCAACATGTAACTCATACTCATTGTTCAAGCATACTAGGTCTCAGTAAAATTTTAAAATCAAAAATACTATGACTGTAATGAAGAAGGTGAATGATGCATAAATATTCGAGGGCTCAGGGCGCGCGCACGTTCATATAAACATAACCAGCTGATACCATGACCTTGACCTTGAACTTAGTGAGTTGCCTAAAAGATAGCGGTAATATGAGCTTACTTTTTTTGATAAAAAAATCAAGAACACATTTGTTCCATTTCAATGTGTTGTATTGTATGTGTTTTTGTTATTGTTTTTATCTACTTTAAAACCACGTTCTACGTATTGATTAAAACTGATATATTTATATTTTACAAATTTATTCTTACAATATTTACTTCTGTTGTTGACGTTATTTTAGTGTGATTTAGGTTAGGAGTAACCCAAAAACATGCTATTGCTGTAGTGCGTAGGCACATGCCCTGTTGACAGCTTTTTTAAGTTAGATGTAATATTTTAAGTAAAATTAATGAAATGTAGCTATAAATTACGTTGTACTATGGCGATCTATCATAGGCTCATGTTTATTTCTTTTTTACATAAGGAAATTTACCAGAGCTATAAATGTATGAGTTTTTGTACTCTGGTATGCCGATGATACCAATATCATGGTTAAAGTTGAATTTAGGGAAGAAATAGAGCTTAAATAATTCTTAAATATTTTGCAATACGTTTAAAAAAAGTAATTATCTGTTAATTATTTCCCAAATAAATTAAATAGTTATTCATTCAGTATTAATTAAACAAACTATATACAAAGTGTCGGTAAATGTCTAATATAGCTATGGTGTTTGGTACAGCATTTTATCAACGCTGAACTCAATGAAGATACCTCGAGATCTAGAACTCTTTAGTCGCTCTGAGTACAATTGGCTCAATGGGTCGTCAAACTATGACATTCGTACTGCAGTCGAAGAGGCAATTGAGAAATCAACAGTCAATTGGTGAGTTAAAAGTGAACGAAAACTATAAAAATATTTATAGGTAGCAAGAAATTGTAATTTTGTTTAAATATTCCATAAGATATAGTAATCGACTGATTGGGGTTGACTTTTACATATTCTTAAAAAATCCAAGAGTGTAAACAGGAATAAACAATAAAACATCGGACGAGTAGAGAGTAAATTAAAATATGTTAATTAAGAGACTTCTGTTAACTAGTAGCAGGAAATAAATTAATAAGGGTCAAGAGATAAGAGTGATAAGGAGTCAAGTGATAAGGATTAAGGTGATACAAACTGGTTTTGGTAAACAATGTTCTAGTGTAGGTAAATCAGTTTATTTAAGGGAAATATTTGAAAAATATATAATTTTAAAGCGTCATAGTAAAGATGACTCTATTTTTTATATTTGTCATCCCTCTAAATTTTGCCTTTAGTGGTTATTGCTGTTTTTTACTCCAAGGGATCTTAAGGGAATGTAATATTTAATTTTGATATTAAGACGCTATATCCGCATCGTCCATATTTAACCGAAACAAAAACCACGTCCTCTTCCTCTATACTAGTGTAAAAAAGGTGTTATGATCTTGAAACAATCAAAATATCATCAAAATGTAAATAAACAGTATCAGCAATCTGACACATAATTTCTCCTATAGGCTTGTCAAGAACCTTTATCATGGACAATTGTGGTGGGAGTAACTATGATATTTTATAGGAAATATTACAAAGATTGCAATAAATTTTGAACAGTAATTTTTACGGAAATGGGATTTTACAATTATCTTAGAATCTGAATGACCGTTTGGACCACTTTTGATAAAATTGGATTTTCCTGTTATAATATGTGTTTTACGAAAAATCACCATTAAAAATCAATAAAAAAATTACTATAAGTCTAGTCTCTGGCTCTGTGCACATCCACGCAGAAAGGCAGACGAATACTCTCTCGAACAAACATCACTCCGAAAACCACTTGTTTGGGTTAAGGGGGCCCAAAACGGATATATCCACTCAAAACTCAATTCAAAAAGTTTGTCTGAAACAATACATGCTCCATATACAAGTACAGCAGAAAAAAAAAATGCATTTCATATCATTAACTGTACCCCGAATCAGTCTTTATACAATGTTTGGGTATGATGTAAAAACCTGTAACCATTTTCAGTTTCTACTATATATATTTTTTTTGTCAGGTAATATTTTATACTTATATATACCTTACTTATTATACCTATACAACAACTTACAGGTACAACCATCTCACCGAGCAGAATCAACTAGAGGACGAATCAGAAACATCTTGTTTGAAACTCAAAGCTACCATTGTTAGTAATATAAAATTACACCTGCAAAATGCGTACGACCATCATGAACCTGAGTTCAAAAGGTAAAGCGATAATCCTAATTAAGCGTTAGATTAAAATTACTGAAAAAATACTGAGTGTTAATTGTACTAATAGGATTTTCATAAGTGTTAACAAGTATTTACAAATACACTTAAATGAAGCAACAACAACACCTATTAAGCAAATGCATTTTGGCATTAAAAGAATTTTCTTTCCACTCCCTGGATTTAAATATTATTATTATTTGAGTTAATAAGTAAAAAATTGCCATGTCTTAATATGTTGGTCTATTAAAAGAACAATAAAAAATAGCAAATACTTAATTTTGAATCAGCCAAGAATTTTTTATTTATGAATTTGTAAAAATAACAAAACTTTTTCCACAATAATAATTCTGTTTGCTAAAATATACGTGTTTACAATTTTACATTAAGCCTGTAACATGTACTGTATACATAATTAATTTATGACTTATTCCATTTTAAAATACGTTATTTGACATTGGTTTATGTTTTAGGACGATTCAAATTTCTTATTTGAAGAAGATGTACCTGACACTGGAATTGCATGTAAGTAAAAAAAAATTGTGATTAATTTTAAACATAAATGAAAATGAACAGTTGTTTTGTTGGTAATCCACTTAAGTTTAAGCCAAATAAATGTGTTTCTGTAGACAATCTTCAAATATGGTAAAATAACCTACAATCTAGAACTTTAAAAGTCTAAAATACAACAAACACAATTTTTTACTATGGGATCTATAAATTTAACGTTTGTAGTTAATTACTTAAGGTAAATGTATTTTAACAACATGATGTTCTTATTATTTTCCAAAAAGAAACATTATCTTGAAACCTATATTACTTCAAAGAAACATATTTTTCAAATAAGTGTTTCTTCGTTTTTAAATGTTAAGTATATGCATTATGATTAATTCATTTTTCAGTGCCAATATTTTACACTCTTAAATTGTAATATTATTTTCAAAATTTTGTTTAAAAAAATAAAAAAATGTTATTTGGATAAACATGAGTTTTGTTTTCGTTATCTTAGGTGTATCCTGCATTGGAGTCTTACGTTAAAAACGTAACATCGAAACTGCCCCATGTAAGATACAGCATTGACAACTCCAAAACCATTGAGGGCGAGGAAAACGTGGAAGTTATCTTATTTAAGCTATATAAAGAGCTCCAGCACTTAGCAAAGTAAGTTGTAAAAATATACCCTCGTATACTGGAAGGGAAACTATGTCCGTATTCCACTGGCATTGTTTGGGTTTTAACCCAAGTGTGTACTAATGTTTTAAATTGTACATCTCAATATTTTAGCTTCCACTCTACTGAGTATGGTAATATATTATACCTTAATCAGTAGATAAACAGACCCCTTCAAGATTTTTTTTTATGAAGTTAAGAAAGACCTGCGAATCATTGTGTTAAAGTATTTGTTCTTTTTGGACAAACTTGAGTTTTCACACAAACAAAAAATGCAAGTAACAGCATTTTAAAATTGTATTACTACTGTTCTAATTTACATGAAAGAACAAACAAATATTTTTTGTGCAAGCAGTCAAAACCACATATATTCTAATACAGATATATGGTTTCCTGTGCTATCTTGAAATTGAAAATGTTCATCAGTGTTTTTAATCGTAGGAAAGTTGGTAGCTTTTACAAATTCCAAGGGACCCAATTAATTATCCTTGGGCTTTTAATGGTCCTGGAACAAAGACACAATACTTTTTTTCAAAAACCTGCTGAAAATTACATCACGATAATTCAATAAATAAAAAGTTCGAAAGGTTTCTCGTGGATCTAAACAAGACTCAGCTGTTCTTAATAGTTTGGCTACTACGATGCTAAATAGAGACAAGCCTAATGTACTGTAATGTTAAAATATAAATAAATATCAACTCTTTTTGATAGAAAAGGCCTAGAAGCGCACCTCTTAATTTATAATGGTCATAATAATTAGTATATGATAAAGTT